TTACCCATCCAAATGTCAGGCTATAATAATAGGTAGCCAACGGATGATAAAGAAACTGGTCATCTGTAACGGTTTTATTTTAGAACTGAGTAATAATACCGTGAAAGACCTTGGATTACACATTGACTCCATCTTGAGCTGGAAAACTCAAGTGGCAAATGTTTGTCAGAAATTGACAGATATTTTGCGTTCTCTTTACCGCCTGAAAAAGTTTCTCCCGTCCAGGACCAAGACGATTATTGTGCAGACCTTAATTTTTCCGTTTTTGACTATGGTGATGTGTGTTATTTTGACCTGAACGCAGAACTCTTGAACAAATATGACTGTCTTCTTAATACCTGCATTCGATTCATTTTTAAACTTCGAAAGTATGATCATGTGTCTACTTATCGCTCTCAACTTAACTGGTTACCGATTCGTCAGCGGCGTAGTCTACGTGCACTCACTACTCTTTACTCTATCTTGATGTCTCCTAATCCTCCATCTTATTTAACTCCTCATTTTCAATATCTTAGCTCCAACCATGATAGAGTTCTCCGTTCTAGTAATAACCTTTTGCTTCAGTGCCCCCCTTTTAGTACTAACTTTGTCCAATCATCGTTCTTTGTTCAATCTGTTCTTCTTTTGGAACGCTCTTCCTTCCGAAATCAGGAGTGCCGAAAACCGGATTTTGTTCAAGACTAAAGTGCGAGAACTGCTCGTCAATAAAATGGCAGAATCAACTTAACGTCTATTTATATGCTTCTATATGTATGAGTTTATATATATGTGAGTATTAATTGCTGTACATACTTCCTATTACACCTCTAAGGTACTCTCTGCACTACTCTAAGGTAGAGTAGTAGATAATTCCTCAGGCATTAAGTCCGCCTATATACATCTAATGTGTATATGAAGTTAAATAAATAAATATTACATTTGGAGGATAACTTGGGGCATTGGTTTCGCTTACGCCACCACTAGACTAGGTGTTGGAATACCAAGATACCATGATGGTATTCCCTTATCACAAATCGGAATTTACATAATAAGTATGCATGTATTACCTGCAGTTAAAATTTCATATTCCACAACAGCCTGGTGTTTTATTCATGTAAACATTAGCGTCATTTCGTTGCCTCGAGAACACGTACGTGCATAAGTCGCTCGCCTCCTTACATGGCCACACATTATTGCCTTTAGGTAACAAACGCTTGCACATTTTCATATAATTAGTAAAGAAATTAAAAGAAATGTTTTGAAATTCACTGTTTTACTTTTACCACTGGTTCCAAAATAAATCTTAGTCTATGGAATAATCAGCAAGAAAGCAAATAGCCCAGTTCTTTAAAGTAGCGTTTTTCAATTCATGGAATGTACAAAATATTATGAAATTCAATTTAGGAACAGCTTGGAAGCGGTCACTTCATTCCCAGGGGTCATTGGCACGCACTCATTAATATTTGATAAGGGTAATTATTTGACTTAATTTAGGGAAAAAAGTCAAAATACTGTTAACATTTTTAAATTTATACGTGGTAGAGCCACGCTGCATATGTATACATATTTGGTTGCAACACGAACGAGTCGACTCGCCCGTTGAAGGACTACGCTCTCAAATAATACCAGCGTATAATAGTAGATTCATGCTGCGTCTTTCATATGAAAATAAACGGAGACTCGTTTAACTTGTAACGACACATTCTACCTTAGTCCAAAACGCATTTACATTTTGATTCTTAAACAAGGATAAATGTGGCTGTCTATAGACCACTGTGCTCGTTTGTCACATTTATTCTAAAAAAAAATTAGTTTTAGGTATCAGTACAATCAATACTGTAACTATTCTCCAAAATGATTGGTACTTTTATGTACATATCTATATAAAACCTTCGTATCGCGATCGCTGCTAACCTAAGGACTATCTAATGCTGTACTCGCCAGCTGGCAAGCCCTTCATTTGATTTGCCCATACGCTGGATAGGCTACACTGTAGGCCCAAATTGTACAGATTAGCAATTCTACTTCACTTTGCCAATTTTGTGGTTGGCTTGGCTTGGTAGTACCAGTCTGCCACTTGAGAGCTCTTGTGCACAATCTTCAAATCAAAAGGTTGTCAGTTTTTTTTGAGTTATTTAAACACTATTTTAATAAGGGAAGTTATAATATTAAAGAACGAAATGTTTAATAATAATCCCTGGAAATTAAGTGTTCCTACCAAACTGTTCCTAAATGTTTCGTTTTATATAGTAAAGTGTACCAACACATATTGTGAAATATTATTTGGAAAAAGTCTCAAGCAGAGGTATTTTACGTACCAGTAATAAAGGACTAGTCAGGTGGACTGTGTGCTCGCTTGTCATCCAATCCTATAAAAAAACGACTTTCAACAGACGTTATTTTTAAAAAGTGACCCGTCTCGGCTTTGCCTGGACAGGATCTATTGATGTAGCATTATTTAGATTTAAGATAATCAAATACCATTTGTATAAATTTTTCTGTTTAAAAAAGTTTCAATATTTTCGGATAAAGTATAGCTTACATTCCTTGTGGCACTGCTCTTTACCTGCTCATAAAGTTTCATCACAAACGATTCGGTCATTCCGAAATTAAATATTACATTAAAAAAAATTAGTCCACACAGGCAGACAGAGAAAAAGTTTAAAAATGGTTATTTATTCAAATAACCCCCTAACCTTTATAGAGGTCAGTTATTTTAATATTACGACAGACACGTCAATTTTATTTATATGTATATGGATGTATAGATATATAATATGTACACTATTCTGCGTAGGCGTCCGTCTACTGTGTACTGTGTACGAAGGGTATAGAGCCAGTACAATTACAGGATGTGAGGCATTCCATCTTAGTCCTCAGAGATGATAATTCATTTGCAGCCTTGCTTGTTTGAAGTTAGCTGCAGGTCTTTATTGGCCTCGGTAGTCACTTACGTTCAAGATGGTGAGTTTTTTTGTTACTTCAAATTTGTAATAATATTCTTAGTCAGATGCTAATCTTAAAAGCGAACCATTTACATAATAAAGTTATTATTCAAATGAAAACGTTGCGTGATCTTCCTAAGTGAGCCCTCGGTTACATACTCTATATTACAAGTTTTCTACAAGCTAAAAATATGGAAAGCCCCAAGAGATATACACCTTCATCATTCTTCGTTTTTGACACCAAAATGTTTTGTGGGGGTATTAAAGATTTGTTGCTTCAGCGTCGCATTACGAGATTAGATTTTTCGCTTCTTACGGATTCAAAATCTTGAAGAGATATTTATTTATAAAACGATTTTTTTTTTGAAGATGTATGAAGAAAAGGTTGTAATATTATATACCTAGGTTATGCCCATGGCTTCTGCCGCTTGGAGGTCGACAAACGATGTGACTGAGAATGGTTTTGATTCATAATTGGACCCGGTAGGTGGCGCTGTTATTGAGATACAGAAATCACCAGTGCGGAGTCGTAGCGGATCGCTAGATATAAATATAATTTACTTTAACCCGTGGTTTCGCCTGTGTATACATAACACATATCGCTATTACCTAATTTAGGTTGTTTATTTTTCATTAACTAATCAACGAAGAGCTTAAGGCGTGGATTTCATCGCTTCTACGCTACTTGCACATTAATTTGTCCAGCACGAAGTAAGCGTGCGACATTTGAAGTACCTTCAAAAAGTTACTTTATTTGAAACGTTTTTGTTTATTATCAGGGAATAAGGGATCTAAATAAAAAAATAGTCAACGAAGAATGTAACTCAATAACACGCCGTTCATATTATCATAAAATATTATATGGTTATCGCTTAAAATCACAAGAACTCGAAGATCAGTTTTTTTCCGGCAATCCAATTAGTATTTAAAGTAAAGTAAAGTAAAGTTACAGCCTATATACGTCCCACTGCTGGGCACAGGCCTCCCCTCATTTCTGAGGGGGTTTTAGGGCAAGGAAGTGTCCGCCGCGCTGCCCCAATGCGTGTTGGTGAACTTCACATGGCTTCGAAATATTTTTTTTCTTATTCCTCAGACGTGCAGGTTTCCTCACGATGTTTTCCTTCACCGCCGAACACGTGGTAAATCAGCACTTAAAATTGCAGTTAACAATTTCATTGGTACCGGCGGGGTTTGAACCCGGGTTACTCGCGTTCTGTTATATTTACAGCGAGCGTTAACCATCTGAGCTACCACGGCTCTTAATTAGTATTTAAAAAAACATTATTAAGAATTTTCCCCGAGCATATACTATTTCATTCATCCATCCATTTATGACGCTCTATAAAAGTCCACTGCTGAACATAGACCTCCCTCATAGATTGCTTCATGCCTCAGGCTCGACAACCGCAGTTTTCATATATGTTAGTGGATATTCTCACAACGCCGCTGCACGGCGTCCCAAGAGTATCGTGAAAGACAACGGAGGGAAAATGAAACAGGAGATGGACAGCGGCATCTTCCTGATAACAACTTAAATATACTACCTTATTATGTATTAATTCTTGTATCTAGAAACGAAAAGTCCAACCCGGCCTTAACTGTAGAAGGACTTTTTTTTCCCCCTCCCGGACCTCTGAGGAGTTCAGACGTGTCTAAGGAAATCCGTATTGAATTTTTATTTCGAAATTTAATTAAAATTTACACTCAAAAATAGTTGTGAAAAAATAAGATATCATAAACTGTGAGGAGTTCTTCAATACGACCGAGTGGCGGGGACTGGGGTGAGTCATTTCCCTACCCTACTACATAGGAAACGGCAACTACGTCACACGTGCTTGACCCGCCCACTACTCCTGCGCATCGACCAAGGGGGCGGCGCCTACGACCCGCGCGCTATTGGTTGCATCGTGACGTCTTCGCGTCCAGCCCACAACTAACTCGCATAGAAGCTGAGGGCGGTGATACCTGACTAGTGGATGAGTGAACTCCTTTGCTCTTTGTATTTTCTGATCGCCTGGTACATTTGTTCGCTCGAGTCGTCGATTATTATTTACATATTTTTCGAGATAAGTAAAAATGTCTTGCCACGGGTGTAGTTCTGCGCTAAGAGAGAATAATTATTTGAAATGTAATGGTTGCAAATCAGAGTATTGTTTCGCATGCCTTAACTTAACTGATGATTCAAGTAAGTTACTTACACCGGAACAAATAAAATCATTAAGTTGCCCCTACTGTCGGAACGTCACGCGGCGCATAAACAATGACGACACGCCTTGCCGCCCGAGATATCAAAAAGGGCAGGCGCAATCGATAAATGTTTCTTTTTGCGACGTGACTCATAACAACACTGCTAATACTAGTGTTGGTATCTCCACGGACACCGGGCTAGCAAAGGAACCCGTTACGATGGAAAGTATTAGCAAACTTTTTGACTTAAAGATGGCGCCAGACTCCACAATTATGATAAATTTGAGAGCAGCACTTAATAAGGACATCGAAAAAATGGTGGCTGTGCACGTCAACAGAGCAATTGAGAACTTGAAGACTGATTTCTCATCTACCACGGACTATTTGGCCGCTGAGCAAGCAGATTTAAGATCCGAGATTAGACAAAAGGACAACCTTGTTAAGCAGTTGCAAACTGACATATCAAAATGTCAAAATTCACTTGCTAAATATCAGTCACGAATTCAAACTATTGAAAAAATCTCACGCGACATGAATATTGAGGTACATGAGGTGCCAGAGAACAAAAGCGAAAACTTACCTGGCATATTCAAAAAACTCTGCGAGTGCTTGCAGGTTGACATTCCTGAAAACGATGTAAAAGCCTGTCGTCGAGTTTCGAAAATGAATCCTTCGTCTGGGCGACCACGCAATATTCTTGTTACCCTTTCATCTCAGAGACAACGTGATTTGGTTCTATCGTCGGTCACTCGTTTCAACAAAGCTCATCCTAGAGATAGACTCGCCTCTACACACATTGGCTTTACGGGAGAAACCCGCAGGATTTATGTGGCTGAACACCTTTCGCCAGAAACAAAGGAAGTGCACAGTGTGGCGAGGAAATTTTGCAGAGACAATAATTTTAAGTATGTGTGGGTTCGTTTCGGGCAAGTGTATATACGTAAAGATGAACAAAGTCAAGCACAGCACATCAAAACCATTGAATGTCTCAACAAGCTATTATAAAGTTTATTGTTTTCTCTCACTATAAAAATAGTATTTGTATACTGATTCCTACAAAAACATTATGATTAGTATGTATTATCAAAATATTAATGGAATGCGAACTAAGTTATCACAATTTTATCGAAATCTGTTGAATTCCAACTATGACGTCATATGCCTGACGGAAACCAACTTGAATAATAATATCTTCGATGGAGAGGTCGTTGACTCCCGCTATAACATCTTTAGAAGAGATCGCGATGACATTAACTCTTCTAAAGAGGACGGTGGTGGCGTCCTTATAGCAGTAAAGAAATCATTCCAAGTTCTCCGACAGGCATATTGGGACAGTAATTTGGAGGATCTCTGGATATCAATTATACCGAAAAATTGTAATGCCCCTAAAATCAATATATGTGTCTGTTACCTTCCTCCCGAATTAAATTGTTTTAAGAGAGATGAATTTTTTTCTAATTGTCAAAAGATATTGTTGAATCACTGTATAGATGACAAAAATATAATCGTTGGAGATTTTAATACACCTGAATATTCTCCTGTCTCTTCTGATACTGACGGGCCATCTTTCACCTCACAAAGTAAGAAACTACTACTCTTACAGGAATTTATGTCAATTTGCAATCTTCACCAGGGTAACCGCACCCCTAATGAAAAAGGCCGATATCTTGACTTAGTACTATCATCAGAAAATTTGTTGACAGTTACAGAAGCTGATACGCTGAGTTTGAAAGATGGACACCACCCTGCTTTGGAATTTGAATTCCCCTCTTTATGTAATACTCCAAAAAATCTAAAACTTAATAACAAAAAACGTTTGAACTTCGCAAGATGTGATTATGACAGCATAAGACATGACTTGGAGTTATTGGACTGGCACAATCTTTTATCGAGCTCTGATGTAGATGAATGTGTAAACATTTTTTATGAACAACTCTTTGTAATTATTAACAAATATACGCCATTAACAGCTATGAGATCTAATAAATATCCCGTTTGGTACAGCAAACCCTTAATAAAATGTATCGAAGAAAAAAATAAATACCACAAACTTTATAAAAAATTCAATAATCCCCGAGATTACGACGTGTTCACTTTACTGCGAGCTAGAGCCAAAAAAAATGATAGATCATTGTTATAAAAATTATGTTGCCTCTATTGAAGAATCAATGACTGACAATATAAAGTCATTCTGGACTTATGTGAATAATAGAAAGGGCCGAGTCTCTATTCCAAATGTAATGCAGTTTGGCAACTCTTCTTCTTCGACCGGCCAGGGTGTATGTGAGCTATTTTCAAAGTACTTTGCTTCGGTGTTTGAATCGGATCAGCAACTTAGTAACTCCTCTGCTGCGAGTAACAATAATCTAGAGTCACCTGAGTGTAGTACCATGGACTCCATGTCTCACATTAATATATCTGACAGGGACATCATGACGAAGATCAAGCTTCTTGATGCAAGTAAAGGAGCCGGTCCTGACCAAATACCTCCTTCATTTGTTAAACGTTGTGGAAAAGAGCTATGCACACCATTAAGCATCATATTTAACAAATCCCTTACGAATGGAGTTTTTCCCAGTCGTTGGAAGATAGCACATATTGTACCCATTTTCAAAAACGGAGACAAGTCGCGCTGCGATAATTACAGACCCATAAGTATTTTGTCATGTTTCGCAAAGCTTTTCGAGTCCCAAGTACACACTCAGTTATACAGCCATTTTAAGCCTCTGATACCCGAAAATCAACATGGATTCATTAAGGGTAGATCAACTGTCACAAATCTTCTTGTATATAAAAACTACCTGTGCAAGGCTTTTGCCACAGGGGGGTCAGGTTGACTCTATCTACACAGATTTCTCGAAGGCCTTCGATAAAGTGAGTCATAGACTACTTTGTAACAAGCTCGCCACCTGTGGTATTCACGGTAGTCTCCTTCGCTGGCTGGCCTCCTATTTGAATAAGAGAAGTCAGTTGGTGGCTTTGAGAGGATACACCTCGACCCCTACTGACATTACGTCAGGCGTGCCCCAGGGGTCACATCTGGGCCCGTTGTTATTTGTTGTCTTCATTAATGACCTCATTAAGAACATATCATGTGAATGTCTATTATACGCTGACGATCTGAAAATATTTAAAACAATAAACTCTTTCGAATACTGTAATCTTTTACAGAAAGACTTAACTGCTGTTTCTCACTGGTGCAGAAATAATCTAATGTACCTTAATATAGACAAGTGTTTCGTTATTACGTTCACTAACAAGCGTAATGGGATCGTTAATGAGTACAGCATCAACGGCCAGACCCTTGAGAGGTCACATGTTGTCAAAGATCTCGGAATCCTTTTTTGATGATAAGCTGACATTTCGCGAACACTACCACCACATAGTGAAAAAAGCGAATCAACTTCTGGGGTTTATTTTTAGATCTACTAAAGACTTCAAGGGCACTCATTCTTTTCTTTACCTTTTCACTACACTCGTCAGAAGCGTTTTGGAATACGGTAGTCCAATATGGTCTCCGCACTACAAAGTTCATATTGAAAATATAGAGAGAGTGCAGCGCAAATGCCTACGGATTTTAAGCTACCGCCAACAGTCGAGGCGCAAAACTCCTGATTATGAAGCTCGTCTCATTAATTTTAATGTACAAAAATTGGAAACACGTCGAAGATATTTTGATTTCGTTTACTTTTATAAAATACTTCACTCCATATTAGACGTTCCTACCTTGCTCGCTGAGATAACTTTTAATATCAAATATAGTGCTCGTAGAGCAAATCAAATAGCACTTTTTACTTTACAAGTGTATCAGAATAATACCTCCTTTTACAACCCCCCTGGTTAGGATGGCTCGTCAGTGCAATGAAATAGCCAAGGGTAACCAAACCTTTGACGTTTTTCTACCTAAACTAACTCTTTATATTAATTTGATTAAAAGCATACTGTATCACAAGCCGACAGTCTAATCCCAGCGCTTGGACTCTCGGTCTCCTTATATTTTAACCCTATTATATTCTTATTTAGTATTGTTCATTGTACCTATTATTTAGATTACTGTTCTTGTTAAACCTTAAATTGTGTAGACATATTTAACTCCCTTGTAATTTTTCATGTACACACATTTTTGTGGAATGCAACCTAGTTTATAAATGATTGTTTTTGTATAATTTGTTTAGTAATAGTTGTAATCTGTTGTGTGTGATAATAAATAAAAAAAAAAAAAAAAAAAAAAAAAAAAAAAAAAGAAGGATAAATTAACAACTGGTCAAAAAACTGGTTGATTTACGGACCCCAGTGTAAATGGGAGAATTTAAATTAAAACTGATTTGTCTACCACAATGTATAAATTTAACTGTGTAATGGCTGCTTCAGAATATCCACTACCCGATATCATCTCGTGGGTGTCGTGAGAGGAGGCAGGGGGAACATTACATACATTACTAATGCTTTGCAAAGGTTGGGCCAGCAAAATTTCAGGAAGAATGTTTTGCTCATATGACGTTTCCACCATATATGAGCTGTAGAAGACAACGTTGCACCATTTCATTCAGGTGAATTTCTTAATCGTCAGCACTGTAGCTGAGCGTTCTCACAACAATCGACCAGCTTGAGAGAGAGATTTTACTCTTCGCACAGGGATGGTCAAATTGATCTAACTTTGTCAGATATTGATATAGTAATAATGCGTCATTGTATTTATCCCACAGCTGTAGGGGAACTGTTACATAGCTTAATATTAATGCAATAAGGACCTAGGAAATATACCAAATATGAAGGTACGAAATTTCATCAAAATCTGTTTTATTAGAAATTATAATCATAGAATTTTTTATAAATTATGCTAAATAGCTCTATCATAAAGGAACCGTGCATCATTCCTGTGTACATAGAGGTGTACATATGTATGTTATTCCACAACCAAAACACTTTCGCACATAATTTCATCGAAATCCGTTCAGTATCTCTAGGTATAACCTGCAGCTATCGTGCATTTTCTGGGATAAAAAGCATCCTATATCAGCCCAATTCACTCTCTACGTTGTTGGGTGGAAGAAGAAACACAAAAACACATTTTTGTGTTTATGTGTTGTATACTGAATTTGATAGTGACTGGCGATCGTCACTGCAGGATGTCGATGACTGCAGGTGTCACAGGTCCCTGCTTTGTGGCATTCGTTAGGGGAGGCCTATGTTCAGCAGTGGACTTGTGAAGCTGAAATGATGATGATGATGACGATAGTTTTCAGCACGTAATTACATAGTAGCTGTGGTCTATGTTTGAATTTGGGAAATTTCTACTAAAACAATGAGTCTGTTTTCGATCCTGGATCTGTGGTGTCACGAGTACCTACGTCCTTCAAACAAAGCGGTTTTCTAATCTCTATTTTCGATCATATAACTTAATTAATTACATTGAAAATCGGTAGATGAGGTTAATGCGCTATAAAAATAATTCTTTTTTAGTATCTAACATCCATTCAACAACAACAAAAAGGTGTGAATGATCATTAGATTCATCAACAATTATTAGTTTACTAATTTATTTTTCAAAATAAACTAAACTAAAAATTTCAACTGGAGTCTATCGAGAATTATGTACAGCAAGAAATAATTTTAAAAATATATTTTTAACGTACGCACATAAAACTTTCACTCCCATAAATGAAATTGTCTCCAAGCGTATAACTTAGTTTTATTTTCCGAGAATTCTCGGTTGGGTCGTGTATTGATATTTCCGATTGCAGACATTTTAACTTCGTGACATATTTATCTACCGGGGTTAGTGCTATATCAACAAGAAGAACACAAGGCGGCGGATAAATGACTGGCATGTTAGTAGTGAAAACTCGATGTCTGATTACAAACACGTTAAGTTTGTGATTGGAGCATCACCAACCTATGAAAAGGTTGCTTTTAGGGATCCAAAAGCGACTTCCTGGGATATCTACAGACATAGCCTAAGGAGGAATTTGGTAACATTTCCTAAAAGGATCAAAACGTTTGAA